ACATTTGTTTGGCAAAATCTTGGCATTTGTTTGGCAAAATCAGCTTAACGCAACTCAAATCAGTCAAATCAATCGAGCACTGAAACTCAGGTCGCTTCCCACTTTTGATGTCTTCTTGCAGCTGGCAGAGTCGCAAAAACATTGTGGAGATGGGTCAAAAATCAGAACCCCCCAAAAAAGTTGGCTGCTTCAGCAGCATCCCATCTTTTTTGACACCTGAATTGAAGCCCCATCCGTCTGCGTCGAATCCCCGATCTGGATGCGTTTTGATCTTCAAAAAGTCTCCCGAGTCTTGGGGTTTGAAGATCCCATGAACCACGCATTGCCGCTTCGAATTCTTCAGTTAGGATTTCTGGTAACATCCAACTCCAACTGGCAATCCCATCCTTGATATTGAATACCCCTCTAGACCCCCTAGTTGAATCATTGAGTATTGAATCTGTTCATTTGGGGTACTACTGTTTGGGTGGATTTGGGTGGTATTTAATATTCTATTGGCTTCCCATTTCAGGATGATGTTTCATCATCTCAAACCACGCCCTGTTTGATTAAGGTAACCCCCCTTTAAACGATTCAACGCCACATTTCTGAAGGAATTAGTTGCTTTTTTGGAGGTGCTGGTGCTTCATACAAAAGGTCAGGCAGGGGTTACCGCTCAGCGGCCGTTCTTGCTTCGACCTGTGGCGCCCCTACGACCCAGGTCTCAACCCCCCCCTTGAGACATCTTATGTAACTCAGTTGGTTCGTAACCTGTACACTATAGGATTGATGGTGGATATATTTTTATAATTGGGCACCCCCTTGCACCAGTTGATATGAGTTCGCGAATTGGAGGTCTCCAATTTCTGGCAATTTTTGGTACTGATCTCCCTAGTCCTTCTTGGTGTGTTCGGCGTTTTGCCCGTGATTGAAGCTCTGGCATGACTGATTTGATAGATAAGCATAGATAAGCTGGAAAGGCCAAATATGTTCCCAGTCAAAACGGCAAACATGAAGCCATCTTCATCCACTCACTTTGTGGCTTCACCAGCTTCGACTGGTGCCCAGTCCAGACCTCCTTGCGATACGAATCTGCAGCACGTCGAGCCCATGGGTGTTCATCAAGCCTTGGCCCGGTTCACCATTCAGCAGCTCGTGGCTATGGATGCTCATCTCACCAGAAAATGATCCGTTTAGACTCATCCCGGCATCTTGTCCGATTTTTTTCTGCTGGATCGTTTCAATTTGTTGATTTTGGGGATCTTCCAATCCTTTGGGGCAAGAAAAGAATCACTGCTTTCCTGACAATTTTGGAACCAAAAAAAATGGATTTGGGAGACGTTTTGAACCCCTTTTTAAAAGGACTTCGAAGAGTGTTTTCTTACTGGAATTTGCCATTCTTCGGTGGCTGAGCTCTGGTGATTTCTCTTGGTGGCCCGCCAGAGCTCAGCCAGTTCTTTCACCTTTTGCTTCGCCTCCTCCTCGCCAGAGGATTTCAAGGGGGTGGTTCACCCTAAGTTCGTAAGCGGCTTGGCCCACAAAAAAAACTGTACCTATAACACACCAAATGGTGAACCACCAAGTAGACCAAGTAGGGTCAAACCAAGATCTGTACCCCAAAAAGTCCACCGAAATTCCAAGTATCACAAAATATCATCAGATTTCAGAAGTTGCTGGAACGGAGTCCGACCCTAAACCCATAGCCCCCCGGGCTGGCTCTCCTGCGCGTCCAACGGGGTCCTCGCATCACCAAGGAGAACCTCCCGCAACGGCAGCTCCTTGGTATCTTACTGGCTTAGGGGATAACCCATGAAAACATCTGGAACATCTTATAGATTATCTTGGGGCATGAGGATGTAGAAGGGTGTGTGTATAATATATATATATATGCCATGAACATGTGCTGGAAAAAGATCATATAATGTGATATAATGATTTTTTAATAGTTTTTAAGGATATGGTGGGAGGCTACGACCAGAGTGATGCTGATGGTCATCGCCACCCGATGGTTGACATCAAAGAGCAATGTCGCACCCATAGGGCAAGTGTTCCTCTGATTTGTGCAAACCGTTGGAAGAAGGAAAGAAGAAGAAAAGAAAAGAGGAGAATATGAAAAGAAGAAGAAAGATGGAATGCAAGAAGAAGGACATCCAAAAAAGGAAAACCGACAAAAATTCGACAATGAATAATAAAAGAAAACTGATGATGCTGACAGCGATTTTTCGCTTACATCACAACATCAGTTTCGGAGGATGTCTCCCCCTTGTCTTGGGCATAGCTCGAAGAAATGGCAGCTCGGGGAGGCTGTGGACCGGTGATTTTTGAGGATTTCTCCCAGTCAAGCTGCAAGAAACAGAGAAAATGTTGTCCTCGACAGACCCGACACCTTTTGTGGGCTATCCCCATTTTTGAGACCTTTGAAAGTAGCTACCTCTGGTAAACTAACATAACTATGGAAAATCACCATGTTTAATGGGAAAAACCACTATAAATGGCCATTTTCAATAGCTATGTTAAATTACCAGAGGCTAAATGATGTGATTTTGTGATGCGGCTTTCTTTGAAAATCGTGTGAAGAAACCCGGTAGGTACCCCTAAATCCAATAATTGGCAAAAATCATGGATTTTCCCTATGTGTTGATGGCCGTTTGGAGGTATACCCCCATTTTCAGGACATACCCAAATATCCTGATGGATCCTAATGGTGGTTCATGTTGCTTATAATTATGTTACACCTCAATTTGACAGGGTCTATGTTAGTTTGTTAGGAGATCCTTCCTAATCCATCCATCAAAGTGCTCCCTGAGTGGCGGGCTTGGTCTGGCTTGTCGCGCATCCGGTGGATGTCTGGATCTTGATCTAACGGTTAGCCCACGTTTACGCCGTCTTTTTTTGGGGGTGTGTAGAAAATGTGGTGTTGCTCCCACACCCGAAGAGGGACAAACAGAGACACCCTGCATTGCTTCAAAGGAAAATGCTACAGGAAATCTGTAGTCGTGGATAGTACAACTGTGGTTTACCGTAGATTCTCCCTACAAAATCAAGCCTGTGAAAGAAACTAGATGCTTGTGGAGCCCGAGCACAACGCCTGCAGACAAAGCCACACATATCTAACAGTTGCAACATAACAGCCCTGACATTGGCTGCCACAAGACAGCCGTGAACGCAACGCGGCCTAACACGCTCTATCCATCAATGTCTATTAATTCATCAATGCCACCAAGCAAAACATGAACCAGCTCAGCAATACGGGTCCATGTTTAAGATGCAGCGATTGCAAATGCTACCTCAGCGAGGTAAAGGCTACCACAATGAACCCCCAAAATGGGGAGGGATGGTTTACCAAAAGTGATTAAGACATGTCCCTATTTTTTTTTCCAGAGAAATTCTAGTCAGTTGAATTATTGCCCCCCCACCAAAAGAAAACAACGGGATGCCAAGTGTGAAATTGTCCCTGAAGTGTTTTAAGGATTTCTATCTTAACTATGGGTTTATCATTGGATTGGTTTAAGGGAAAATTTAGGGTTGAAACCCCCATGAGCTTAATGGTAAAAACCATGGTTTCCGGTCAAGATTTTCCCTTAAACCAATGAGTTTAATCATCCCATCTGGTGCGATGAATATGCTTCAGTTGAAAAACCGAGGCTGCCAAGGCTCAATGATGCGTCCGGTCAGGTTTCCAGACCTGACACGTTACCACTCGGAATCTGGCTGCTGTGAATGTATGTATATATATATTGTATATATACATAATATCATATAATATGTGTATATACATATTAATACATATTCTATATAATGCACGTATACTAACCTGTTCTGAATCTGAGTCGCTGTGAGTATCAGTCCATCGCTTCAGGGCTTCAGGGCAAATGGACACAGTAGCTGGAAAATAAACCAGGTTTAATCATGATTATAGTATAATTATTGACTATAATATTCACTCTCCCAACATTTCCAAGGCCAACAACAAAAAAAACAACAAAATGTCCTTCGATGTCGTTCAGAAAGACCCACTGGGCTGCTGACATTGCACATTTTGCAATACCTGCACCAGCAGCTTGGGAGACAAGTTTCAAAACAGCTGGGTCTCAGTCTCACTATGTCTTTAAAAAGGAATAGCTGAATAGCTTTGAGATTCAGCTCTGGACCACCTTAGAAATCTTGGTACAGCATGTAATATTGATCCATTCTCATACCAGGGTCGCTATGTTATCCACCGATTTTGCAGCGATGGAACTGCGATCCAGGCCTTCTCCTCTTCGTCTCGTCGCCCATGTAGAATCCCCAGTTCGGAGGTACGACGCCCGGATCCGTCATGACGCACCTGATGTTTCAGACAGCTTCGACGCGTCGATTGGTGGAGCATGCCTAAAAAAAAGAGAGATTCCGATTGGTGGTTGACAGTGGAGCTGTTGGAAAGATTGTGTCATCCCATTTCTTGACAAAGAATTGGCATAGCCAGAAGTCGTTGGCATCACCGGGATTCGGGCTGATAAAACGATGCTAGAAGATTCACAAAGAAGATGTGGTAGACAAAGAGGACTGCTGCAGCATGTGGTGCCTGCGCGGCATTCTGCAATCTCAACAAGCATCACAAGCCTCTTTGGAGGGTGGCTGCGGCTACTGCCATCCCTTCTCACTGCAGCACGGCAGAATGCAAGGTGAAAGCCTGCAGCTTTCCTTCAAAACTAGTCCCCCAGAAACCAACGCAATCCCCAAGCAAAGCAGTGGCAACCTTTGCTGCAACATGTTCGACAGGCCAATACAAGGCTGTGAAACGCCAAACACCTGGCTCTGCCTACGACCCCACTTCTCAGATATCTTTCGGCAAAGTTTGCCAGCAAGTAGTAGTCCTTCAACAACATTCCGTTGCATATCTTGGCCAATGCAGTTTTCAAAAATAACTATATATCATATTATATATATATATATAGCGTATATAGAATGATCACCATCTCTCATATGGTCGATTCTCTTTGTCAAAAACAAGCTCCGAAGCCCGAATTTCAGCTTCGTAATGCTTTGTATGCTCTTGGAACATACGCAGAGCTTGCCAACTTTGGCCCTCAGCAACATCTTCAACGCGTCATGGGTCGATTCCTGTCAGGTGCAAACAGTCAAACTTCTGGTGATCACCAAAAAAAAACTCTGCACCTGGCTGAAAGTGGGGGTCGAGCGAGTGGGATCACCTTGCCCTTACCTCGTGCATTGGGCTGGGATCGATTGGCGGGGATCACTGTCTTCGAAATCCTGGTCTTTCGATCCAAGCTTCGTGAAGTTCCCTGTATAAGTATGAAATTACAAGTAACATCAAGTAACAATTTGTTCCATCAATTTCCCCGGAACATCCTGAAACCACCTCTGGGATTGAACAAAATCATTTGAGGCCCCCGCGAGTAAAATATTTTGAAGGTTCTGGCGTCTTTCTTCGCCTCCGCAAACATGCGCTTAGAGCTTAGAGGTTGCTGAACAAGGGAAATGTTTTTTTCCTCACTGCACCATTGCAAATCACCTATGTTACCTGGGCCACGCAGATGCCAAAATCGCAGTGTTTTTGGTGGTTCAACGGTTCAATCCTTATCTGGTTCTGTACCCAAATGGCCATCCAGAGGCCAAAGATTTTAGACTCTGAAGTGCGGACCACGATGTCATGGTCTTTCCAAGTTCCTAAGTGGCTGCATCCCCAAAGCTGCTGAAGCGGCTGCTGGACTCATTATCCCCAAACCAGCAGGTCATCATATGACCAACACGTGACAACCATTGCTCCGTCCCCAAAACATCCAGAACCAGAGAAGTTCATGGTAGCCTCTTGTAATTTGTTACATAGCTATTGAAAATTGCCATATTTATAGTGAATGTTCCCATTAATAGCATGGTGGATCTTTCCAGTTCGCTATGTAAACGTTTACCAGAGGGTATGATCATGTATGATCATCAACACCTCATTCTTAAGCCACCAATGGTGTTTTCTATGAATATCAACTATCAACCAGTGCTCCCAATGACCAAGGCATACCAAGGCTCCACGGCTCGTCGTTGCAACGAGTTGCAGAGGTCCAAGTAACTGAACTCTCGACCGCTGGCATCACAGTAGGCCTGAAAACCCAACGCTTCTTGGCAAAGTCCAACAAAAATACCCCCAAAAGATGGCAAAGATACCAACATTTACCAAAATTTCAGCTTCATTTACCATCATTTAACCCTCATTTACCATGATGTAACCATCATTTGACCATCATGAAACCATGATGTAACCATCATTTACCATCATTTCAGCATCATTTACCATCATTTAACCATCATTTAACCATCATTTAACCATCATTTACCCTCATTTAGCATCATTTAACCACGTAACCCTCATGTAACCATCATTTAACCATCATTTAACCATCATCTAACCATGATGTAACCATCATTTAACCAACATTTAACCATCATTTCAGTATCATTTAATTTACCATCATTTACCATGATGTAACCATCATTTAACCATCATTTAACCATGATGTAACCATCATTTAACCACCATTTAACCATCATTTACCATCATTTCAGCATCATTAACCAGCATTTACCAGGATGTAACCATCATTTAACCATCATTTAACCATCATTTAACCATGATGTAACCATCATTTGACCATCATTTAACCATCATTTAACCATCATTTACCATCATTTCAGCATCATTTACCCTCATTTACCATCATTTCAGCATCATTTACCATCGTTTAACCATCATTTAACCATCATTTAACCATCATTTAACCATCATTTACCATCATTTCAGCATCATTTACCATCATTTAACCATCATTTAACCATCATTTAACCATCATTTACCCTCATTTAGCATCATTTAACCACGTAACCCTCATGTAACCATCATTTAACCATCATTTAACCATCATTTAACCATGATGTAACCATCAGTTAACCATCATTTACCATCATTTCAGCATTATTTACCATCGTTTAACCATCATTTAACCGTCATTTAACCATCATTTAACCATCATTTACCCTCATTTACCATCATTTACCATCATTTACCCTCATTTACCATCATTTCAGCATCATTTACCATCGTTTAACCATCAGTTAAGCATCATTTAACCAACATTTGCCCTCACGTAACCCTCATTTAACCATCATTTAACCATCATTTACCATCATTTACCATCATTTGACCATCATTTACCCTCATTTACCACCATTTCAGCATCATTTACCATCATTTAACCATCATTTAACCGTCATTTAACCATCATTTAACCAACATTTGCCCTCACGTAACCCTCATGTAACCATCATTTAACCATCATTTAACCATCATTTACCATCATTTAACCGTCATTTAACCATCATTTAACCGTCATTTAACCATCATTTAACCAACATTTGCCCTCGCGTAATTCTCATGTAATCATCATTTAACCATCATTTAACCATGACGTAATAACCATCATTTACATTTTCCATCATTTAACCATCATTTACCCTCATTTACCATCA